CTGCCGACGGCCCGCAGCCATCTGTCCCCCACCGTCGGCCATGTTCCGCTCCTCCCCACGACCCTCCCAACGCCTCCCACCGCAATTACAGCCATCCGGTACTTTCGCCGTCACCGCAAACGTCATCTTATTCCTTGGACGGTAAAGATTAATATCGTGTGGTTGTTGGTGTAGGGGAGCTGGGGTGGGTTGTTCCGCCGCATCCCTTCAGATGGGCTCATGTCGTCGCCTACGCACTACGTGATACGATCGCGTCGTATAATTATTGTAATGCCTTCGTATCGGCAGCTCTCGCTTTATTGAATGTGTGACTGTTAGATACCTATTGATATTGGCAAATTAAGATATGAAAGTAGGGATGAGTACCTGTATACTCACTCAGACATTCAACTGTTTTTGCGGTTAATACATTATGCATTTAATTTCTTGTTTAGCTTCTGTAGCTACTTTAAGGTGGTTTATGAATTATGATACTAGATTGTGAACAGGTATAGATAGTAACATGTATCTACCTACAATATCAGGCTGACGTAGGTATTTGCTTTATTTGCCTGACATTCTTTTAGACTGGTTTCTTTAAAAAAAAAACTACTACTAAGTACTAGGTAGTTATACCTACTAAAAATGTTTTATTATTTTATTTTATTATTTATTAATTACGGAGCCGTGAAAGACTTAACGGGTTGCCGGGGCTCCGGCTCGAAGTGCAGGAGTAGCAACGGGGTGGTTTTTAGTCAGTAAGAGACTGACACTCCCTCCCGCCTCACCCAGGCGGGAGCAGTCATTCGATGATTTTCCCCCTCAAAAAAAGACTATAGGTAATAATTTCTTTTTTCTTATATGGATACCGTACTGTATCTATTCCGCAAAAATCAATAAAATAACCTAAAAAAATAGACCAACATTTCTCATCTCAAATCCCAACTTGGATCATTAATCTATTGATCCAAGTAATTATAAATTGAAGTGAATATCGATACGGGTAGGGGGCGGGACGGTCGTTCATTAGGTTTAATGCAGGTGAGGATATTAGAGGTGGCGTAATGATGTCCCCCACGCCCCCAACTCATAACACCTCTAGTTCCACTAAATCATCATTTCTTAGTTCACAGCTGATGTTAGGGAATTGAAATTATGTGTTTTTTTTATTTTTTGCCGATAAGATCATATACAAATAATAAACTGTATGATTATAAGAGCTTATAAAAATGTCCTCTCTATTTTATAATTTGATATTATTTTCTAACTAAAAGCAAGCCCTAGGTAAGTCCTTACAAAATGCAGATTAATAAAGAATTATTTTTTAGGCTAATCAGTTCTTCTTAATCAGTTAGGTATTTATGGTTTTTTTTAAGGGGGGAAAATCATCGAATGACTGCTCCCGCCTGGGTGAGGCGGGAGGGAGTGTCAGACTCTTACTGACTAAAAACCACCCCGTTCCTTCTCCTGCACATCGAGCCGGAGCCCCGGTTATCCGTTAGGTTCTCCGCGACTCCGAATCGGCATCGGCCCTATGGTTTATGAAGTACCTACGTTTACACAACTCAGCAGATAGCAATAATCCAATAAAAATACGCATACCTGAACAAAAAACCAAAAAATTCCAAACTCAGACACAACATTTAACTAACAGCAATTAAGTACAGTACAAGTAATCATAAAGAAAGAATACTCATGTTAATAATTTAATGACGAAAATGATTCGGCGCCTTTGCCCACAATTAACACGATACCGCAATAAAAATAACTAGGCAGGGAAATTAATTAATTTTGAGTTTAATTATCTCATCAGAACTGTAAAACCATGGCGGCTGGCTTATCGTGATCATGACGTCACATCGGACTTAGACATCGCCCAATTAATTACAGGGCATGCTATGACAAATCACTGATTGATAAATGAATAGATAAGACAATGTATGTTTACTAATTAATGTATATGATTCAGTACAAATTTTGTGTAGACATTGTAAGTATTGTTATCCAGCCTTAACTATCTCTTCATTGTATTGTTATCCAGCCTTAACTATGTCTTTGGTGGACGCCTAAGTTCAGCAGTGGACATCCTGTGGCTTGTGATGTGCTTGGGTGATGATTGTATTGTTATTAATGCTTAAGTAGGCTATTAAGCTTGTTAATAGTGGAATCACTAGACACGTTACAAGGGCGTAGACGGCCTTTTTGGGGATTAGGTGAAGATTGTTGGGAATTCTTTTAAAAGGATTCCTATCGATTATTCATGAGACTACATGATAAGTAAAAATGTTTTTAGTGAGTGATTGGCTACGTGAAAAAGTATACCACTCTCTATCGCCTTTTTAGGGGGGGGGGGCATCCAATGACTTATCCTGGCTTGGGTGATGTGAGAGGGAGTGTCACTGACTAAAAACAACCGTGTTCCTACTACTTCTTTTAACCGGAGCTCGGAGCCCCGGTTAACCCGTTACGTCGTCAGCAGCTTCGGACTAACGACTGTCTATTCCTTGGACGATTGAAAATTGTGACATTATGATCTAATAACATAACATCACGCCTTTTATCCTCGAAGGGGTAGGCAGAGGTGCACATTATGCCACTGTACAATGTAACACCTAGTTCTCACTACTTATGTTATGAGTCGCATGTAATAGGGGTGAGCTTATTGCCATATACCGGGCACAATTCCAGACTCCGTGCTACTACTGAGATTTTTTTAAAACCCAGTCATATTTTGCCCGACCCGGAAATCGAACCCGAGACTCCTTGCCCAGCAGTTGCACTTGCGACAACTCGGCCAACGAGGCAGTAGTATGATCTAATATTGTTATGACAAATGCTAATAATAATTATATGCCGTCCCTGTATCGGCTTTGAGACTCCTTTCTCAGTACTTTAACGACCACCAACGCAGTTATTATACATAATATGCCTATGAAAGTATTAATTTAATCTTATCTAGAACCAAATTAATTCAGTAAGCTAATAATTTCAATTAGCCTGTCCACTAGTTAATGGTTACTAGTTCTCGTTGAATTTCATCAGCTTGTGTGTAGTAAATTAATAACGACAGGTTTTATAATAATAAAACCTTGTATCTATGCATTTAATAAATGCGGTAAGTATAAGTAAAGGCACTTATTGACAATCTCTTTTAAGGACAGACAGGCAAGTTGTTTAGTAAATGTTAGTGAGGAATTTAGAATAAGAATAAGAATGGTTATTTGCACGAAGTATAGTAATTACAGGTGATAATGATTATAAAAAATAGTGCCACATACATCGCCTACTGTTTTCGGCAAGCAAAGTTAGATGTTACAATTAATAAAGTTAAAATGTTATAATTAATAGGAACCGATAACAAAAATGCTTACAACTAGGATGACATATAACTTAACATTATTATTATATTTCTCTGCTTCATTCATATTTTGTCGCGGAGAACCTAACGGGTAACCGGGGCTAAGGCTCGACGTGCCGGAGAAGGAACAGGGTGGTTTTTAGTCAGTAAGAGTCTGACACTCCCTTCCGCCTCACCCAGGCGGGAGAAGTCATTCGATGATTTCGGACCTCTTAAAAAAATACTTATCATTTTAGTGACTTACTAAATAACTAACGTACTTAACATTGCAGATGAATTCAGTACAGAAACAGTAGCTATTGTTATTATTGGTAAAGTAAATTAAAGGAAAATATTCTTATTCGTGTACACTTAGATACGGCCTTTCTCATCCCAATAACTATCGTTACTTATCCAATAAAAAAAACTTTACAATAATGCATATTTTTATAGGTTTACTAAGATTAACTCGGGTCTTATTGGGTTTTGCAACGCTTCAGTTCTTCAGATAAAATATTTTTTTTTGTGTTCAGTCCCATCAACTTACTTAGGTAACTCTATAGCAAATAATTCTTCTTTTTTAATCAAATTAATCACTCTGCTTTGGCGACAACTGTATAAAAATCCTTCGGAAGTTATCGCACTTTATTAATTGATGAGGAAGTCAGATTTGTGTCTTTTACTGTTTACCTCCTGAGATACCGGCTACGCCTAGTTCAGGAGACAGAGCTTGATGTATTTAGATGTTGATATATGAATAAAGAATGGTCTCATTCTTCAACCACAGAACAAAGAAAGTAGATAATAGTTCAGGATAGGAGACTTATAATTATTATTATACGAATAAAGAATTATTATTACTCGGCATTTTTTTCCATTCTTATTTTCACAAGAATTTTGTAGATTTTAAAGGGTACCAAGGGTATTCAAGAATTTATAGTAGGTACCTAGATATTCATATCTTAATGAATATCTCCTAGCTGTCACGCCTTTTTATATTTAACCTGAGTAAACATGTATAACGTTAATATTTGTAATTAAAATTCATTGGAATATGTGTAAACCCCACCGGTAAACCCTGACTTAGTATTTATTTATATTATTTTATTAAACTAAAGTAAATTGCCCTTTTTTACTTTGCTGTTGTCGGGTAAATAGCAATAGGTGTAATAAATTATTCAAAACATAAATTATAATATGTACATGTAAAAAGTACTCAATAATTTAGTAGAACCATAATTTGATTAATAAAATGAAATGCCGTAGTAATATAAGAGAAATAATAAGAAATATTACCAACTTTCAGCTGGCAGGTACACGATAATCTCTCTATAACCATGTCCTCATTAATAACTACTGTATTTATTAAAATAATATTAATATTTGTTTATTTGAATAAATTCTGCATAGAATAAAACCTACATGAATGCAAAGAGAGTAATTAATTTAAATTCAGTATTTGTTCTTTTAAAAAAGGTAGATGTCGACTTGGTTTACTGACCTTAAAACAGTGTACCTGAGCTTTCGATCTAGAAACAAACTGTAAATTATGAATGACTAAGAACAATTGGGTACTTAATATATTAAAAGGTGAACGATATTTTATATTGAATTGACCATTATCGAAAAACTAAGACATTAGACCTTCTTTCAAGTAACTTAACGACTCAATTCCTACCCACAGATCGTCTTGAACTCGATGCATCGGTATCAACCTCGGATCCATCTCGTCAAGGTCCGCGAAGGAGGTGGTCCCATAACGGATCTCTCAAGAGAACAGCACCGCACCTTTGTCTTCCCGGAAACAGTCTTCACAGCTGTCACGGCCTACCAGAACCAACTCATAACTAAGCTCAAGATAGACTCCAATCCCTTTGCCAAAGGGTTCCGAGACTCATCGAGACTGACGGACTTTGATAGGTAAGTCATTTTATTATTTAGAAATAAATCCACTAAAAAACAAACATGACCAACGTCGCCAACCATCGTCAGCCGACTTCATACGAACGTCAAGACCTGTACTTACATTGTTGTAACCATTTAATTATCTCGGGTAATTATGATTACATCAAGGCTGTTATCAATTAGCCTCTAACTTTTATAGTCTTACAGTTAATAATCGATACTTTGTATACCCTTAAGTACCAAAGATAAGTTACGAAGATGTCATCCTAGTAGGTAGGTCTGGTTTCATTTTCATATGGATTAATAATATACGCGCAATATGAAGATTCTGGCTAAAAATGTTAACGATTTCCGGTCCGTCGTAGGTATAACATGGAACTATATCCATCACTTCACAAGTACCAGCCTAACACGAAAACATAAATCCTGTCATTAAATTTTAACAGGCCATCAATACGAATTTGAGGTTTGAAATCGGTGACGAGCGTCCAAAACGTTTAGTTTATTTGCCCTAAAAGTGGTCTAAAGCGACGTATGGTGGTGGTTTGATAAATTGACAGGTTATTAGCAACAGTTGAAAGGCATTAGGTCCGCAGCCCTGCAATTTGGCGGCGGTTTTACATGAATAAAAGATTAAAAATGAACGTCCGCAGATTATGGCAGATATCGGATCAATGCGGCTGAATGTTGAGCGGCACATTTAGGGCTGTTGTTATTCGCCTTATCGGTTAATCGACTTTATGGAGATTATGGGCGTAAAAATAATCTTGAGGGCGTATTGAGGACGTGTATCGAGTGCAGATAGCAGTAAATGTAGATGCTTATGAAGCATTCAGTTTATCTATGAAGTTAATAGACGATTTGTGGTTTACTAAGCGAAAGGTATCGTAGAAATTGCATTATCGTCTGAGAATACAAAGAAACAACATAAAATACCTTCCAAGGTAAACTTAAACTATTAATGTTTAACTATTAACAGCTATTTATGTTGCCACCTTAGCATGATTAGAAATACAATTTAACTTACAACATTTAATACAACTATAAAATTAAGAAAACGGACTTGCTAAAAATGATGTCATGGACTCCATTTGCTAATCACTTTTATTGTCTAACATATAAAACTTTACTACGTTATAAACAGGGATCATAAAATACCTAAGCCGTTCTCTGTCCGTCTAATAAGAGCATGCGATGTTACAGGACGATATTACAACTGTAATAATTTGACTGCCCAGTTAGCACGGTGGTTGGACACTTTTTTTTTTTTTGATGACGGTGGGAATCCTTCAAAAGGCGCCCAGCCTTTTTGGGGATAAAAGACTAGGGAGTGTGGGATTTTTACCTCACTGAAACTACCCCGGTGGCCACCCTCAACACCTGAATGGAGGACACATCCCTAGGGAGACGAGTATCTCCTTTAAGCCTTGCTGTGTACGGCGGCACGTGACCACTGTGCCACCGTCTTCTCTGAGACCACAGGGTGGGCACCTGGAGTCCCCACTCTACGTACCCGTGGCCCCAAAGGTCCGCCTGAAGTTTATGCAGGCGGGATTTCGGCGTGTTAGGCGTCAAGGTGGTTACTTCCTCGACGCCTTCTACGAGCAGGATCGGCCCTCTCGCGACCCCGCTCACCAGCTTCCTTTTGGGACATTACTGTCTCTCAAAAGGAGGCCACTTCCCTCCAATTACGGTGGTTGGGCACCTAGCTACCGCGCAACGTGGCGCGGGTTAGATTCCCGCACGGAACAATTCTTTGTGTGATCCACAGATTGTTGTTCCGAGTCTGGATGTTATGTGTATGTGAACTTGTATGTTTGTAAACGTACCCATGACACAGGAGAAAATCGTAATGTTAAAAATATATATATATACAAATCTAAATTAAATATACCTGACCTAGGCAGTAGGCACCGGTCTTGTTGAATGCAATCTTTTAAGTTTTGGTTTTCGCATCCCTTTTACAGTGTGTGTCGCGATTTTTATATGCCTTTCATTCAGTCCTTGATTAGTTTTCTTGATCATCTTTTGGACTGTTTGGGATTTTTGTTGGTAACGTCAGTAAGTTTCATTTAGAAGTCCTTTTTGAAGTTGCTAATAGTTTCAAAAACTGAGAAGATGGTTGTATAATGGGGACGTCTAATACTTTTTCACACGAACTCTCCGATGATTCCGAGGATCTATAAAACGAATGCTTCTCATAAGTCTACGAGGAAAATCAAAAATACAAAATTTAGACGTTGCCGGCGATTTAGACGGCGTTGACTTCACTTGCTAAGTTAGAGAAAACAATCTAAATCACTGCTATTGTATTCACTTTTACCTCAGTCATGTAATATTAACGTCAATATCCTCCATTGTCAATATCTCGCCACCTTTCGAAGAACAATCGACTATTTTACTCTACGGACGTGGGAAAGTAATCACTTTAACTATTTTCACAATAGTCGTCTGGTTTGCAAAGAACAGGTGCAATAAACTTGGCTTACTATCGGTGGTGAATAACCTCGAATATAAATTGTGAATCTTTTATGAGTGGACATGACGAATAGAGCTGTGAAAAACTTCGTGTGCGGGACTAATATTTAGGTTTACGAAATGTATTTGCTTTACATGGGAAAGATGTGGTATCTGGAAAATTTCTGGTGTTGATTACGAGATTACGGATACAGTAAAGAAATAAAAAGGTAGCATACCTATTTGTTTAATTCTGAGTAACCACAGGAGAATACATGATAGCTAGGAAATAATTAGGTAATCGAACAGACTGCACTAGGTTCAACAATATTCTTCATTATTCACCGCAGAAAGTTCCATGAGGATTCTCCACTCAACATCATTGAGGAAGGATATGCGTCACATTTTAGCGAATTGGTAAAGACGAGACAAAAACGATTCTTCACTATGACTACCCATTGAAGGTATTCTCCATAAAAAAACTAGTCACTAAACCATCTTCGGATATCCAACTGCACATTGAGCAAGCAACAAAATAAAGATGGACAGTCCTTAGCTTGTTACTATCCTGTTAAGAAAGATAGTCAGGCTAAACATCTTTTAACTATCACCTTAAAGTTTCATTACCTTTCCAACTGAATATCATACATTTCGTTGGTATATTTTCAAATCTTCTGTGTTCAAGGGATTTATATCGATGTGACTGTGTTGTAGTCGGCTTTTCACCTTGTAAGTAGGTATTAGTCGTTGAAAACCTTGAAGGGCGTGTCCGCATAGAATTAAACGTACATAAGTATACTCTACGTCGAAAGGTATTCATTTTTACGTTCTTTTGTTCAAGCAATTATTGAATTTTAATAGACTTATCTCCTGAAGTAGAGTTACATAAGTAGATGTATTATTTTCTCTGTGGGATATTATGTTTTACTGCTGAATATTTCTCTTTGTCCAGAGCTTAACATGAAATTTACTACCGTCACGGTAAATTGGAGATACTGATGTTTTTTGAACATAAGTATGAAATCGCACATTATGTAAAAGATTCTATTCCGATACATATATTTGTTGGCTCAAACTATTAGGTCTGCTACGTCATTAAGTACAACTATTAGATTTTACGTAAGGATAGGTAGGGCACTTACTTTAATAATAAGTACGATCATCCATGAATATAAAAGCTTTCAATCTACAAAATAAAATTCTGAGATCGCGACGAGATACAAGTCTATAAATAAAGGCAAAAATTAATATTTAGCGGAATAGCCTGTTTCGCTCATTAAGTCGAGGTGTTGGGTGACTGAGGCGAGAATGTGCCTCAAGGAACGAACGGGCGTTCCCATGAGCCGACCACTACTTTGAACTCACGATCATCGAACGACGGACATTGGTAAGGGCGACTTTATGCGGGACAAACTTAAAGAAATTAATTTTAAAATAAATGATAATTTTACTAAAGATCAAGTGTTACAGTTGCTTAGCATTACTCGGTAATTAAAATATCATCAACGTATTGTTCATAAACATTCATAGGATATGATCTCATCCTATCATAATTTGCAAATATAATGAGTACTAACTTGGGAAACATAAATTCGCATAATAGAGGTGTTAATTACTTCGCTTATTGATTGATATTCAAATGCATAAGTACAATGTTGTGAGGACGATTGGAAATCTAGCGTCTATCCTTAATATTATTGCATATCGTCACGTGGTGCGAAGGTCAAATGTATTTCTCACAAGAGTGCTGACTACGGACCTAAAGTTCTCATCAATTGCCAAAATTAATCTAGTCGATCCAGTCGAACTAGCGATTAGCAATTGATTTTTTAATATAAAGAAGACAAAAAGTCTTTCAGATGTCAGTAGGGAACAATCTTTAGTTTCGTGTTAACACGTTCGAGGTTGCGTGGTTGCGGGCGGAGGGCGGGCTGCGGCGCAGCGGCGTGTGGAAACAGCTCACGTCAACGGGGCCGGAGCCGGCGGCGGCGGCGCGTAATCACAGGGCTCGCTCCTCATTATGCCCTAAACGACAAATTAAAGCGCATTTCTATTATCTGGCCATCGGTGTGATGCCCATACGGCCGGACTGCCGGAGCGACCGGTTCTCCGGGGGCCGTGTGGACGCGTTCTCGCTCACGTGTTTATACTTTAGCAACAACCTGCTGAATTTACTATGCATAAACAATTACTGATTCACCTTTTAAGATTGTATATTGAAAGGAATATTCGATGTTCGCTCGCGACGAACAGATTAAAATGTAAGGACAGGGTTGTGTGGTAGCTTTTAGTTGAAATTGACTTGATGACAGTGTTTTAAATTATGCCTCAGACCTCAGTCTTAGAGATTAATGTTGATCATCACGTTTCTTATTTATTTTTTAATTCTGTTTAAGACTGTTTACTCCTGAACACTTACCGGAATTCTCGCATTAGCTCTTAAGGTTTTTTGTGTTACAGTAGCATGACGGGCGGAATTATCGGAACTATTAATAATGTAATCGACGTAGGCGTCAGTGCGTAGCTACCGATTTGTATTAATTGATACAGCATCGGCTCGATGATAGTTCGGGCCGGTGATTGACGGCTAATTCGAGATGTTATCGATGCAATTACCGCTTCCATTGAGTCTGTAGATCTTTGACCGCTTCGCTCGCTACCGGCTTTGATCAGGAGTTTACGTGCCCACGCTCTACGTGATCCATCGCGGCTAGTAAATGTTTTTGTAAGATTATTGCGGTACACCATTTTGTTTTAAAAAAAGAAAAAATGTACCGAAACCTTATATAAGCAATTGCCTCTTTCATTTAAGTGCTCTACATTACCTGTAACTGCTTCACGTACAAATACCTCAAAATGGACGTGTTAAATATTAACAGCAAGTGACATTTCCTGTCGCTCTCACTCGAGCTCGAGTGAACATAACGGAATGAAAGGCTGAATAATTAGAGGTTCGCGTATCGCGTGCTCCGTTGATTGGTGTCGGGCGACCGCTACCGTGCGCCTGCGCTCCTCGTGCGCTTGTACTCGTAGCACCGCGGCAGCACAGCTCAACGCGCACGTCTATCGATACAATCTCAACCAGAATTGCCACTTCACTGTCTGTCACTCCGACACCCGCATCACTTGACTTGACGAATGTAGGTTAATTCTAAAAGCCGTCTAAGCACTTCCGTTTGTATTGTTCAACCGGTCAACTAGTAAGTACTTTCCATTCTGATTGCCAAATTCACACCGTCTAATAAATATAAATATTTAAAACAACACGTAACGCCGCTCAACCTTAATGACTTCCTTTGCTGACGTCCGAAATCGTCAGACAATAAGTATGATGAATTGCCATTGTGTGAGAATCGGGCGGTCGAGTTATTTGGCGTGGTGGTCGAGGCGGCTTTTCATCCATTAATTAATAAGATCCGCCCCTCGCTCAATCAGAGCCGATATTTAGCGGCGAGGAGTTATATTTATGTTCGGACGCACCTCTTCGTTAATTGCATGCGATTCACTTACGAGCTAGAAATAAATTTAACGACAACCGCGTGCTGCCCGCGGCACGCTGCGTGTTTCACAGTTATGTTACGCTAACTATTTTTTAAATATCAACCATCTATCACATTTAGTTACACGATCGTAGACAATGAACTGTTCGGTCAGCAATTATTCCTATTTATATCTGCTTAATGAGTCAGTCAGCTGCGAGAGTGATTTATGGCAGACAATCCGAGGACTATCCTCAAATAGATCTCATTTATGGATGTTTATGACTGTTGTATAATTTCCTCTTTTGAAACAATACAGTAAGAAAAGGTTGTTGTTAAAATGAGTAGGCAATATGCCATAAATCAGTTTGCTAATATTCTGCATTAAGCAAAAATTACGAGGAAAGGAAATAATATTTCACTTCGTATCAGATAGACACATTATGCATTTGCGGGCAAATATCGATAGCGGTCGGCGCGAGATATCGATAAGAGGCTGCGCGAGCACGTTGGCCGGGCCTATCGGCGGCCTCTGAGAGCTGCCGCCCTGTAATTTGCCGGCGGAGAGTGTTGGCTATTACTGCTGATACCGAGATCATAATAAATACGCCATTAACGCCCCCGCAGCACCCGAAACGACATAACCACCCGGTGAAACAGACCTTTTCTCTCAGCATCAATACCGCGCCGCTTAAGACCTCTTGTAATTTAAGGCTTCGAGTGTAAATTTTAAGATATTAGTGTTATGGAATGTGTTAGTTCACAATTTAACGTTCAGTTTTGATTGACTTCAATTATGTTCCGAGTTAAAATGTTTTAATATTGAACTTTTTAATTGTTTTTTATTTTTGTTCGATGTCTAAATCGTTTATCTTTAATTTTTAAGCAGCACTGACACTGACTGACTGAATTTAATGGTGCTATTGCCTAGACAATGTCGTAACTTATTTCTTTCATTATCATCAGTCCACTCAATTTACATGATGTCATTTACATACTTAAGTATTTTTAAAATACGGCATAGCGTATAAGTTACTTGTAACTAACCTCATCCCTGCATCTTCTACGGAAGAAAGAAATTGATAATTTAGAGAGAAGAAACAGTATCGCGTGATAGAATTGTGTGAAATCGCTGAGACGTTGTGGTTAATTCGAGGTTATTCTGACAATAATACCAGCTATTATTCGTTTTTATAGAAATTAGGAGATCAATAAAAAATCTATAAGATGTGTTAGCGTGTGTGGGCACTACCTGTTTTTAATTCTCGGGGAGAGCGCGCCGGCGCCCGGGGCCGCCGCTCCGGTGATAGATTAAATTCGACACGGCATCTCGTGATGTCATGCCAATTTTGAGGCTTAGCTCGAGCTCGGCGTGTCGTCACGCTCATTTGCCGCTCTCGGACGAACGCTCGTATCTCAAGACGGAGCCCATTATTAATAACATCTCCTCAGATTTACGCTTGCTCTACAACGAACGTGTACTCCCGCAGCAAACGGGAAGGAACCGGCCACTAACTAGATTTCTATTGAGCAGGCGTGAAAGACGCATTATTGCACACTTATAAGTGTCGATAGTTTCGTAGAGACGCGAAAATAGCAAGTTAACGGGAAGCGTGATCGGTGGCGGTCGCGACAACCTCCAGGAACCGATAAAGGGCATCACGCGCCGCGCAGTAAAGGGCCGCACTCACGCACGAGCTCGCCGCGCGCCTCGTTAACTGCGACACTACTCGTAAAGACGCTTCGCAGAAACAATCGACAGCGATACACTCTCTGTTTAACACTTTTCCAAACGGGCAGTGCGTATTAAAAAAAATATCTACCGCACAAAATGTGGAGGTAGGTGTTTTATTTAAAGATTCTGCTTATTGCAAATGTTGGAGTTATAGTGGCATTGTAAATCAAAGCTTAACGCAAGAGTCGTAAACAAAGCTGACCACGTCGTATTTCATCGAGGCTGAATTTTACATAACAGCTTCTAGTGTGACGTTCGTAACGTTTTATGAGATTTGAAATCGCCACGTGGCTGCCGGTGGCCGGTGTCGTTCCTCGAACTCGGTTTTATAGACTACGGACCGATGAAACTCAACGAACAGTCCGTCTCGCGAAACGAGAGGTTCGCGGAACTCGATGCGACCGTGCACGTTTTACCGAAATAGGATTTATTTCTATCAGAAAAGTTACTTCTACTTAACATGAATATTATTTCAATAAATTATTATTGCTGCGTAGCTCCAGTATTCATAAAAGTTCTTTGAATATCGTAACAGCATTCTACGTGGAACTGAAAGAATTGTAAAACATCTCTTTAAAAAACATCAATCCAACATTCTTGTTATTTACATGGTGACCCTAACGAGTTTATCTTTCATTCTCCACAGAGACCCGATGGAGCTGATGTTGATGGAGCAGCAGTTGTTGCGCTCTCCGTTGCGGCTGTACGCAGGCGGCGCGGAGGAGGAGGCAGAGAAGCGAGCAGCTTGGGCGCGCTCACCGGCAGCATTGCAGCTTCTGGCGCTGGGAGGCCGTGCGTGGCCCGCCACCTGGCCGCAGCCTCTAGCGCTACCCCACGACCTCTGGCTGCAGAAACCACCCACGCCGTTGCGCTACTGCCCCTACCCGCCCCCCGCGCACCCCAACGCTCCCCCTCAGCCTCGCCCGCAGCACTCACCGTCACCCAGGCATCCACTGTGAACATACCAACACAATCCTGGACTGTGCTCTCATACCCCTACTATTTGCCACTTTTACACTGCTAATGAACGGGATTCAAAGCAGGAGTTCTAAAGTAGAGTGGCAAAATGGGTTGCAATGAAAATGTGCTGTGACAACCGCATCATCGAGTACTCGTAGTAGTGACTCACACGAACTAAATGATGAGTTCGGCTAGTAAAGAGACTATGTGTTTATTCAAAGTGAGTTTCAAATTAGTACCTTAATAGACGAATGTAACTGAGTAGTTTAAGAGGTTGTCAATAGATTACGTGTACTTTAATACATAATTTCAAGGTTCCTACCCGAAAGTATAATATGGAGAAGTAATGTTAATGTAGTGTGAAATGAATATAATTTAACAATAGTTACCTGCACATATATATGTGTTTGTATGATTCTTACTGATTTCATGTTTCTTTCTTTTCGTGGTCTTAGCAATATATTATCTTCTTAAATTACATCGTAATATAATAAACCAAAGAAATGCGTTGAAATGACGAAAACATGATTACATTTACATTCCAGAAAGTATAATTATATTTGTAGCAATTTAATATTACTTAGCTTTCGTTTGAATAGATCTGAAATTCGTCATATGTCCGTGAAGTCTCGATCTCATAAGTTTAGACATATTAGGTATTATATGTTTGACACATTAATTAGGTCCAATTTTCATTTATTACTTTGTCACGCAAAATGACAAAAGCTTTTGTCCTTGTATTGTTAAAATTTAACAAATAAAGATGTAACTAAATAAAAAAAATAAAGGTGGCCTTTCTGCAACTATAAACTTTATAATGGTCAATGCAAAGTTGTATTTAGATAAAAAAATATGAGATAGGTATATCTTTATATTATGTTACTTCTACCACAATACCTTTATGAGAAAGAGACGACATAAGACTTGACAACCCTAGCGTACTCACTGTCGAGTACACACACATCCTTACACATTTAAAAATGCGAATTAATTTGAACTCTAAGTCTTTAATGATACGAACTAAAATATTAATTAGTTAATATTATAATTTTTGTCTCAGAAGGGACAGATTCCAAACCCAAGTGATGTTTATTGTATGTACCTATTACCTATGTATTGTACATTCTATGGCTTAAGACTATTTATATTTTACTTTTAGCTGTAAGATATATGAAAATGTATGTACTGTATAGTGGTTGACTAAATTATTTTTGTAGGATAAGCACTGTAAATAATGGAACACTTAGATGTTTATATCAAATAAGAAGTTTTGAAGAAGTATTGTCTTGTAGAAAATATTACGTGGAAGCTCGCATTGTCGTCATAATTTTTTATCTAAGAAACAACCTATTATTGTTATTAACATAAAATATACCCAAACTCGAGCAACATAAAGTCCATTGATCATTGTACTACCTTACGTAGCTACAAAATTGCAAATCAATGATAATTGCCATCTCAAAGTAAAATAAACTCTCACTAGAAAAACATAAAGCTTATTTTTTGTTGTGCTGTCTATATTATCAGCAAAAAAATGTTCATAGATAGCATAAAATTGTAACCCTAAAATGAATTTGTGCGATTTTAGTTACCCCATCATAAATATAAGATGATGAATGTTACATTACATTCTCCCTCTGTATCAAAGTATTATTGCAAATTGTAGGGAGAGGGGACTTTCAATAATGCTAATGGAATTTAACTTACATATTTATAGAGCTTTTGTGGGTACTAGTGTTTTAACATGAATAGAAAATGAATCAATAAATGACTAAATACTTTTTTGTTCAAGTTCCACCTTATACGTTTGAATTCAGAAGTGCCTAATATATTATTTTATTTATTCGAAATTTTAAATGTTCCAAATAAGAATCTGATAAAAAATAAAATAATAAATGTAGCTCGTTTGCAATTGAGCTAACTGACTATGACTTTTATTGCTCAGGAATACGGACAATGATGTTAGCAAGTAAAAATTTGTTGTATCAAGAATGTGGTTACTGCAATCGTCTTTTGTCTTAAAATTAATGCAATAAAGGTCAAAGTTACTTGTATCAACTACACTTAAAGATATTTTTTTTGTAAAATGAAGAGGAATGGAGATCGAATTTGAAAAAGGTTATTTTGTTTTGTGTAAGATTTAAAAACCATCGATGAATTATTATTATATTGTTCCTTAAAGTAAAAATATTGGTATATATATTACACATCTTTTGACATTATTAATTATCATGCATTATTAAGTACATACAATGTATTGATATAATAAAACTTCTATGCATCTATTATATTTTAAGCAATTCAAATGTCAAACGGAAACACGCATCAAAATCGAAAATGATCTATTTATCCATCAATCAAGTTTGATACTTAAAAAACAGATTAAGAAAAGGATGTTGGTCGATATAAACATGATGTCATTTATTTCCTTGAAACTTTGCTTAACTTTGTTTAATGTATTGAATAATATTAAAAGATTGTTGAGATACAAGAGGAAGTTGTATATCCAATTCAGACCTCATAATCGTACACAGTATATACAAAAAAACAAAACAGAAAAAATATACACAAGTATGAATTTTTATCCAATTTAAGTATATTCGTTATAACTTAAGTACCTACTTACCTATTATTTGTTGCGTAGCGTATTTCAAGGCATCTTTGAAATATCGATCGAAAATTCTTGAAGACAAATTCTGTTCTAAATTGTGATCATTTAATGACCCCTTCGACGTTTAACATGTTAACATACCTACTATTATTTTTATTATGGAATAATAATAATGGAAAAAAATGGAATAATAATTTTATTATGGAAAAATATTATTCACTGTTTAATATATTATTGTTTGTATGTACCTAATTAAAAAAACAAAACATGAATATAATTTTAGTAAAATATTGTGAAATAATACAGTAGGTATTTGTACGAAATGCGAGTGACACGCTGATGTAGCGACACATATCAGGGTGGAGCCCTAAGTGTTAATAAACCGACATGAAAATTTTATTGTTGTTTTATTTTCTCATTTCAAGTCTTGTGTCTTGGAGAATAAGGATGATATTGGAATAGCAACCTGTTATGACTGAACGATGAAAGAACACTAAAGGATAAAGGTAAGTAGTGAAGCGGAAAACAAAAAAAAACATCAAAAACTGCAAAAGACTGCCTTGTCGATGAAGTGCTTGCCACTATTACTGCTTAACATAGTCGATCTCGGGTTCGATTCCCGAGTTGAGTAGTTTTGTTGCGATTGTCGTATTCTGAATTATAAGAATTGCTTATCCCCTTTTTCTGTGTCGGAAATAGGCATAGACAATTTTGAATGTTAAAAATGTAAAATGTTACGTTTTTCAACCATAGGTAGATACGAAAAAATGTTTCCTTCTATCTATTTATTTGTGCCTAGTAAATATGTGTAAATTTTACAGTTACTACATAAGAACCTATGTCATAATTACACAGAAAAAAAAATCCTTTACCGACAATAGATGGCGTTATAAGTGAATCTTGACCAATTAAATTAATTATAAGACACTGCTTCGTTGGCCGAGCTTTTACGAGACCACGAGGTCTCGGTTTTTATTCACACGTCTGTTAAAAACTACATTTTGCAATTCCAAACTAGTTAAGTAATTATAAAATATTTTATTATTATCATATATTTATTTAACATTGTCTACATAGTACATTTTTTATTACAAAATAAGAAATAATATTTAAAAATATAAAAAATAGGAATCGACCAGTAGCGGTAGCATGATCCAAGTTACCGTTGGTTAGGGCTCCAGAGACAGAAACCTCCTCACGATACGTGCCGTTTCTAGGAGAACTGCGTTCTCTTTCAGGCACTCGGTCCATCCATCTAACGCCAGCCTCCTAAGATGGATGTCGAGGCTTTTAGGGATTAACCCATTGGCCGACACGACTATCGGTACAATGATAGCCAAATCCACACTCACTCAATACACTAATTCATTATTATTATTATTTATTTAAACCAAATCAACACAACCTAACAGGATACACTTAATATGATAATGTTGTCACTCAATATAAAAATTTTGAATAACATTGTAATATGTATATATTAATTGCACTTATCCATCATCATCAGAAGTAACAACATCAGTCGTTACCTTTATGAACTCCGCCAATGAACAAAAAAAATATCTCATTTTTGTCCAACGCTGAGTAACTGTATAGAGTTGTAGACATTATGTCTAGATTTCACCCTTACATTCAATACACTGGGAATCCCACACTACCGCTAAAAAAATACAAAGCTTAATAAACCAACGACTTCTTCGTATTGGAGTAGACACAAAATATAATGTCACTTACCTAAACGCGGTCAACTTTTAAACCTCTTCTCAATTTCTTTTCTATGGTCGTTCATCTAGTCAATGTTAAAAGAAATTACTTATACAATATGTGCAACTATATGATTAACTATGTATGTACGTAGGTACCTAATTGCGTGAATGTTTTTTTTTCTTCTTTGGCAACCGATTCTCCAATACGATGTTGTCGACTATACTGCCAGTGTCGAGTGGTGACGGCAGTTAATGCACCGTCGAACTTTAACTTTCTGGTTGCGTGAATGTTGTTTTAAAGCTCCGAATTGACAATCCCAGGTAACGACACTACCATAGATTGCCTGGTAGACACACATGATTGACTCAAAAATCTTGTTAAATTACAGATTACATATAAATATGTGAAAAGTTAAAACCAATATGTATATTATGTATATTCTGATAATTTAGTCACACAAAGGTAATAAACAGTGTAGAGATGGCACACAATAGCATTTAGAATATTTACTGTTGACTGACGTCACTATGACACACAACATTACTGTAACTACCATTATTCTTTGTAATAAAAAATATAACGATTAATTTAATCTCAAAGAAAACTGTAATTGGTATGTATTAAACGATAACTGTCAGTTAAATAAACTAACCGTACAGTTTACCATCGGTCTATCAACTATGAAGGACGCAATATTTCTTAACCACAGCCACGAACCGTTATCTACTATTTACGAGACGGCTAATAAATAATCGTCACACTTTTATTTTCCGTCTTTATTAAGTGTCATTAGGCATTATTAAGCGCGTATATCGATGATGATCGGCCTTCCGTCCGTCCGGTAATTGCCGGCGATGTAAGCGGCCTACAAATTGAAAGCGGCCGCAGCCTGAGGCGAGTATTGATGGATCTGCTGCCATCGGGAAATTATAGCTGGCCCTTGCGACAGCTTCGCAAATTGTGCGTATAATGCTAGTAAATAATATGGCGCTCACTATAAATTCATATGAGGCTAGGATATAAGTATAGGTCTCACGTATCGTGCGAGGAAGACACTCGTACGAGCGCGATATCTATGACTCCAATTTTTCATATTTTGTACGTACGATGCATTGACATTACACGAGTGTAACCCACGTGCAGCGACTACAATTTGAGCGTGCGCTGACGTGGACTGCTCGTCCTTTGTGTCTGCGTGAGAGACATTAAAGCAGCAGAGAATGGCAGCGCGCCCGTCTGCCCGCGTCGACCGATGCATAAATTAACACGGGCGTATTTCGCAGACATCGACTGATTGACTCCTTTCATTACCGTCTCGCATTGTTCGCAGCCTGAGAAAAATTGCACATCCTTTTGGAATCACTACACATTTCATAATTATGGACTATTGTGGCGTTGTCGGAGCTAATTCGTCGGGGACGAGTGCTCTCTTCGCCCGGGGAGCACGCGAGATATATTGGCGTACGTAAAGACGGAGACTGATCCCATAATGGCTGGCGCTGATTAGTTTTCAAGGGAAACACTAGTTCGAAGAAAGCTCTCGAGGATTTAATGTCCTGTCAGAGAAGTGTTCGAATGGCCATTGTTAGCTGAAAGATGTTTGTGCTATTCTGGTGCGAAGTAACAGCACACAAATGAAACTAATTTTAAAAAGGATTAGGATTATCTAGGCACTTTCAGCAGATATGAATGTTCTGTACTGTTTGGGGCAAGTTTTATGCTTGGCGGAACGTTTGAAATTATTGGCATTAATTGCGCTCATTTGTCGGGCGCCGTAGTGGCATTGTTCCCGTGGTGTGGCAGATTTATCAGTGATTAAGCACGATAGACATTGTAGGTGCCCACGTGCGAGCCCTGTGCCCGGTCGTGGCCTATGCACGATCGCGATCGGTTCAAATTGTGCCTGTGGGAACATTTAAGTGTAAAATTCATCTAAAGTACAAGCGAGTGCGACGTTTACAGTTAAAGATGTGGAACGTGACTAGTTTAATCTAATTCGATCAATAGGGAATAGAAAGACAAGAAAACATCAGGTGAGACACTTCACGGTCTATTACCGAGGTCCCGCACCTATCAATCGGGGAGCGGTCCAGATGTTTCTGTCGCTCGTCCGGCGCTGCACAACGGTTGTCCGTGGCAAACGTTTTTCTAAGTCAATGTTGTAACGGTGTGTGTCTGTCAGCCGCGTCCGGCGTCAGCTGCCAACTCTAGCGATCGGATAGACAAGTAAATAGAGGCGGGCTAATCGTCGCGTCCAGCAAGGGAAACGACGAATTACTCCGTCACGGTGTTCCCAACAATTGCTTTGTTATTGGCGATATCACGGCGATTGATGCGGAGTGGCACCTGTGCGAATTGGAAAAATCAAGACATTGTTTTTGTTGTGGAAATAAAACCTAGCTTTTATTATTTAAATGGGATTGTGTGTTTTAGATGCATGGCACAGTTAGAGCGTTGATTGACAGTGTAGTTGGTGCAAAGTAGCATGATTATCGTGTGGGTGAGTGGCAGCCGTGGCACGGCGCGGAGAGGAGACGTCGTTAGCCGGCTGTGATCGACAGACGGACAGACTAACCGCCGCGAGGTTGCCTAACTGCACTCTACTTGTGATAACTACGTGCGAATGCGAACTTTGATAAACATTATGTTATTACGGACTCCCCATGTGTGTAGTTAGCTGTCTTATACTTTACATGTTCGCAATAGTGTAATACCCGAAGGTGTTTCGTGAGGTATAAGTTATTTCTTTAGCTCTACGAGTATTAGAAACTTAGTTTTAATTTACTTAACTTAGTCTAGTGCAAATTGCGAAAAGTTTAAACATTATAAAGTAAAATGGCAATGGCATTACATTTTTAAGCAGATATTT